GTTGTCAAACTCTATGTTGTACAGTATACAAATTTGAAAATGGAAAAACCAAAATTGTAGAAGTGACGAGTTGTTTTCATGCCTGCGTACATAAAGTTTCAGCGCATGCATTGACAGGGCTACCTTATGTACGCAAGCATGAAAAAAAATCGTAACTATACGGTTTTGGTTTTTCCATTTTTAAATTTTTACTGTGTTCTCCATAAAGTTTGACCACTATTAAGATTTCAAAAAAAAAAAGAAAATATTAATAAATTAAACATTGCATACTAAACATTGAATAATTAATAAAAGAAAACTAAAAAAAATATAAAAAATTGCATTCTAATAAAAAGCCGACGTAATTACACTCACTTTGATTGTTTAAATGATTTTCTCCGAAATATAGTATATTAACTGCAAAATATTTTAAAAACATAATTCTTTGTGAGTTCGAAATTTCCGAAATTTTTCTCGATATTTTCGAATATAATGACGAAATAAAAAAATAGGTGTCTTCTTTTTTTCTTTAAAGAAAGTAAAAAAATATTTCACACCTTGGAAACACGTAAATGCCTCGTAACCGAGTAACCGATTTCTCATAAAAAATTAAGTATATAAGTTTACGAACTTTTGATTGTAATGTTAACCTTATGGGGAAATAAATATATTTTCGTCTATAATTTTTCAAATAGCCTAGCTGGCGAATATGGAACACATGGAATAGTAGTTGCAGAATACAATCGCATATATAACTAAATTCCTTCTTAAGTCGACTTAGGCGGTTATTGCTTATGACCACGGATATTTGGTAGCAGTGCTGTCATTTGCTAATTTTCGAGTGAAGTGTTTCGGAGTGGTTTGGGAGGAAAAGTGAAGTGTTTATCGTAGTGACTATTTTAAAACACAATTATGGCCGTGGGGTTATTCGATTTAATGTCTTATTAGCTGATTGGTTAATCGACTATTTTTTTATATTAAAGTACTTCAATAAACAAGCATATGCACCGATTCCAAATATCTATTAGGCGTCTTTTTAATAATATTTTTCGTAAAGTTGCGTTACAATTTAACATTAATTGGTTTCCTACGTTCTTTGGTATGTGGCTAATGGCCAGATGCGCTGGCGCTATTTGAGGCGCTGATGACGCCGCCTTCGCAATATCTATCGGCGTAAACCTCTAGTATGTATGTATGTATGTATGTATGTATATGTTAGGAATATTAATCCCGGGATGCGGGTTCCCGGCCGTTTTGAGGTCCCGGCAATCCCGGGATTCTTGGCAAATAACCAAAACCCAGAGATTTTCGGGATTTGTAATTTGCACTGCTGGCAATAATATGTGCACTTAATTATTGCTTTTTTTATAAATGTCTAGCTCCTAATACATATAACACCGCGCGATAGTAAATTTTAAACACAAATATCAATATATTCGCGAAACCATGGGCCAAATATAGTACAATTACGTTGTTAGTTTTTCACTCCGATGCACTGTTGCCAACTTGAACGCGAATATTTTTTAGTTTGGTGCTTGTTTGCTTTTTTTGGAAATCAAATTTCGCTATGTTCCAGGTGTCCAGCAGTCAGAAAGAAAAGTTCTTTATGTTCCTTTAGTTCACGAGATCATAAGATACTGCAGTGTAGATTTCAACTACCAAATAGTTCATGAAACTTCATTTTTTGGTTTTGCTTTCGTTTGACAAGGAATTGTAGAAAAAATTATGCAAAACGAAGGAAAATGTAATATATAAACAGTCAAGAAAAACGTTATAAATTTTTCTTGAATCTAAGCGAAGCAGCAACGCTGGACTCAGATGCAAATTAGAAAGCAAGAACAAGAATGTTATCGTCACTTGTACGAAAATATTTGAATTTATGGAAAACAGAAAAAGGTCGACCGTCGAGCAAGAAACATTGATTTTTATTAATTTGAATCAGCATCGCTACAAAAAAATGTTTATGCATGTAAAGTCGATTAAATACTCTGATAAAAATTTGGTGCTTTTTTCGAGAAAAAGCGATTTTTCTTGGGTTTTAGTGCTTTTCCAAATTCAAAACTTGGCAACACTGCTTCGACGTCAGTAATTCAAAAATGGTTTAAAAAATTCAGAAAAGTGAGAAACGTGTGCTTATGGAAGAAGTATTGGTATCAAATTAAAGAGGAAATCCTGCAGAATTTAAATATATTCAAGTTTTTGTGCAGAAGGACTGGTAAGTATTGAAAATTTCCTTTTAAAATTTTATCCTTGACATATCGCAATATTTTTTTTTTTAAATTATATGTTGAGGACTCTTATAAACTCGATAACATCCTCGAATTTCATCCTTCTATCATTATCAGCTTAAAAGCCCCTTTAAATAAAAAATAGATTATCTATTTTATGGTAGGAGAGCTTCTCAATTAATATAGGAGCAATTTTTTCGATTTAGGTTATTGAAAAGTAATGAATATCTAAATCCCGGGATCCCAGGATTGTGATAACGACAACCCGAAATTTCCGGGATCGGAAAAGGCTGAAAAATTAACTTCCCTAGTATATTCATGTTTGATTACTATGCATTTAATATATACATTTTTTTTTAATTTCTACGCTGTTACTCAGCCCTCCAGGTTTAGACATATGTACATATACATACATACATTTATACGAGTACAAACATACCATGTGCTAATTTATGCCAAGAAGAAATTGTCGGCCGCATAAAACTGTGTGGTTGACATAGCGACACACAAGCATACTTGACACTACTGTGCTACTTATTGTTTTCGACAGAACCGAAGAACGCTACAATTTAAGAAGTCTTGCACAAGTTTTGTTTTTAATTTCAAGTTACCTATTCTAGATTTTTATTACTTATATCTAGCCATTTGCATAGAATAGCTCCTCTATTCATTATCCTCATGAATGTGTGTGTGTGTGTGTGTGTGTGTGTGTGCATTAGGGTGGTCCAAAAATGCATGAACAAAAATGAAGTCACCGTTATCGTTAATATTAACGATTTTTTATTGGTGTCCCCATTGCATTTTTTGGGGTTTTGGGGATTTTGGGTGGACGTATAAATTGTAGTTACTATGAAAAAATGGTTAAATAAATAATCGGGTATTATTATTGGAAGTCTCCTGAAGAGAACCAGAATTTTTCGATCGAAAAATATTGATGTTGAAGAATTCCATACCATTTCTACGAAAAGTTGTTTCTTCCCATATAATATACATAGAAAACTTTGAGTGCTTTGAGCGACCTCTAAATATTTTTTGATTTTTAAATAAAAAATTGGGATATACTTTTTCGACGTAGAACAATCATAGGGGGTGAGAACATTAAAATTCCGATTTTACTCTTTTTGGACCACCCTAGTGTGCATTTAAATGTCCAAGTAGTGTGTTTTTGAGTACATAAATACATGCATATTAATGAATGGCCTTGAAACTTATGGAATTATCAGCTATTTTAGTTGGGACAAGTCTGTTGACGTGACAACGTTTTAAGGCTTTCTCAATGGATCAACCGATAGATACTAATAAATCAGCATCTTGAGTCATTAGCGGCAAAGTGTTTGGTAATAAATCTTCAAAAATAAAACCATTAGCATATTTTATTTGCCCGTTACGTCCATACTGGTTATTGATCCCGATGTTTTTCTTTTATTTATAATTTACTTAAATATATTTGCTTTTTTTTTGTTTTGTATTGGTTCCTAAATTTTCAGCAAAACAATTGCTTAATTAAATATCTTTTTGTTGCGAAATAACACATTGAGATCAATCAGGCTTCATTTTAAGTCGTTAAATAAATCACTAAACATAAAAGTTTACTCACAAAATTCGCATAAATTATGGAAACAAGTTCAAAAAAAGCGTTGTAAAATGACTGTAATTGTTTGCATTAGAAATATTTTATATATTTTCCCAAAATTTTTGCATCAAGTTTGGTCAACCAGAGGCCAGTTAAAATCAACCCGGTTCACCTCATTTTACAGGTAATTTGCTTAGATTTTGTGAATACCCTAACAAAATAACATTTTGTTTGAAACAATTTTGCATTTATACAGCATTCTAGGTGAATATGTAAATCTAATACATACATCCATTATAATAATATATTGGCGCTTACACATTTGTTGGTGTTTTGGCCGAGTTTCTCCTCCGATTTGTGGCGTGCGCTTTGATGTTGTCACACAAAGGGGGTTGGGACCTACAGTTTTACGCCGACTCCGAACGGAGATTGTATTTTTATGAGAAGCTGTTTTTCATACATCCATGGCCGACCCAAAAATGCCCTTTAAACTCCTGTAGAAACTTTCTGCAGAACACTCCATCAACTGGTCAATATTGCTGGGAAGCAAAATTAAAAAATGTATGAAAATAAGATATCGACTTTCGACTTTCGACAACCGGGCGATATTAGCTGAATATTCTGAGTTTATTTTATCATTATTTAGTTTTTTAAAAAATTTCAAAATAGACTCTTCAATTGGGAGGAAAGTTGCGATTAAAATCATGACAAAACTATAATCAAGGGTGTAATAAAGGCTCAAATCAGTATCAAAGTACAGAGTCCGGACATTGGGCGTTAATAACGTCAGAGCTACGGAAAAAAATTAAAAAAAGAAAATCTTATTGAAAAAAAAATTCACATGAAAAATTAACCAAAAATACAATTTTTGTAAATCTACGAGAAACGCTGCACCCGCTGGTGGTAGCACAGGATAAAAAGACCAGTTAGAGAAGGACCTGGAATATGTTGGCATTTCTACATTATCTAGTACGATAAAGAAATTGAAATGTATATTCTGGTTTTGTCTATCTGAAAGAATTCTATGAAAATTATTTATGTTTGAAATGCAACCGTTGACACCAGCTGGCAGGGAAGCTTGCAAATTCCTGCAAATTTGTGTTCGTGCAGAAATTT